TAAACCAGCCTTGCATTCCTGGGATAAACCCACTTGGTCATGTTATACTATTTTTTTTATATTATTATATTCCATTTACTAACATTTTATTTTATGTTTACATCTATATTCATGAGAGACCTTGGCTACAATTTTTCTTTTTTGTAATGATCTTGTCAGATTTTGATATCAAGGTTGCATTGGCCTTTTTTGTTTGTTTTTTTTAAAAAGCCCTTGTTACTTGTCTTGTTCTCCTGTTCTTTTCCTTGCAGCTTTTTGTTCCTGTTTTGTAGAGGTGGTTTTTTTTCTGTTCTATTTAAGGATGTCAGTTTCCTGGAGCATATTTCTTAATCTTTTTCAGAAATACATTCTTCCCAGAGATGATGATGCTTTTTTGTCATTTGCAGTATGTTTTGACTGATCTTTTATTTTTCATTTGCTCTCTTGAGCAAGGAGAGCTCTATCTAGAGTTGCTGTTTTGCCGCAGGTGGTTGGATGGGTTACCTTGGGCATTGTTCTTTGTGTTTGTGGTTGATGTTCAGATTCCCTTCTCAGATCTGTGGCCGAAGAGCTGGTTTATGTTCATTGTTTCCAGTTGAATTCGCAGGCATTTGCACTACTAAGGGAGAACTTTATTGCCTTACAAATTAAACTGAAATTTCTAGAGTGCATTCTGTTAGAACTGTTCCTGTCTCTGTTTTCACTGAACTTTTTGTATATAATTATTATAACCAATGTAACTAATTTTAATTTAAGAGATTAGGTAGCTCCTCCTGCCTGTTAGTCTCTGTGTCTTGTACATGTGTGCACCTGTGTGTGACCCATGAGTATAACCAGGAATGAAGGGTAAAATGACTGAAGGTGGAAGACAAAGGAACGTGTTATGATAGAAGAGAGGTCATGAGAGCCAGCATTTGGATATTTTCTTTTGCTTTATCTGTTATTGCCTTTATTTTAAGAATCCAGGTGTCAGTGAGAATTGTCAAGAAGCAGCATCAGAAGATTAGAAGGTCTTCACAACCACATCATGGGGACTCTAGAGTTTGTAGCCTGGGTGACTGAGAGAAAAATGTGGCAGAACTAGGATTAAAAATAGGGAAATTGAGATTTTTTTCTGGGGGAAATAAATGATTGCTTTGATTTGGGTTATATTAAGTGTGAGGAACTTTCCAGGGGTAGGTGACATTTAGACTTGAATGAAGCTCATGACACGTGGGAACTAAAATTATAGTTTGGGAATCCCAGAGTGTGGTGATAGTGAGAATGGAAGAAACTTCATGAATTTTTAGTAGGAGAATAGAAGGCAGGAGAGAGGGAAGAGTCTGTAAGATGTTGGGGATGTCTCACATCCTAAATGCAAATATCTAGCCTTGTTGCTTCATCTCTCCAGTGCCGTCCCCTTGGTCCAGGGAACCATCCTCTCTCCTTTCTTAATGGCTGTAATTCCTCCTGACTGGGCTCTTTCTACCACTTTGACTCTTCCAGTCCAGTCTCTGTATAGTATCCAGTGTGAGCCTTCCAGAAGACCAATCTGATCACGTCAATTGACTGCCTAAAATCCTTCAGCTGCTCTCTAAAATCCACACACCTAACATGGCTTTAAGGCCTTTTGAGTTGTCTGTTAGTATAAAAATAACAGAAATCCAATAACCAAAATTTATTGAACTCCTTTGAACATTAAAACTTATTCCAAATAGTTTATATTTGTTGTCTTGTTAAGTCTTCACATTTATTCTTTATCCTTATTAACAACCTTATGGAGAAGGTACTGGTAGATTCCAGTTTTACAGATGAGAAAGACACAGAGAGGTTTCCAGTTGTGCAAGATCACAGAGCTATCAAGTGGGGAGCAAATAACTTTATATCATGATATTATTTAAGCCTCTCCGTAATCCTATGAGGTTAGTATTGTTATCACTGCCCTTTACAAATGAAATGACTGAAGTCAGAGATGTTAGGCTGTTTGTGTGGTGGAGCTGGGACTGGAGCCCAGATCGATGTGACTCAGAGTGTGTTTTGTCTTCCATGCTAGTCTGACCGCAGCCTCATTCATAGCACCCCTCACCTCTCACCTTAAGCACACGTGTAGATACCCTGGGTTAACTTCTGCTCATTCTTTAGGTTTCGGCTCAATTAGAGCTCTGGCTGAGAAACCTTCAGCGAGCATCCCCTTTACTCTTCCTGCTGCACTTAAAGGCACTTTGTTATCAGCACTGGCTGTCAGTGTTCTTTGATTGTCTTTCTTATAGTGTGTGAGCTTCGTGAAGTCGAGTACTGTGAGCATCTTGCTCACTGTTAAACCTTGAGTGACTTGCACTGTATGTGGCACATAGCAGCACTCAGTCGCTGTATGCTGGATAATTACATAAATGTTTAACTCAGTGACGCAGTTTGGCGTTGACTGGGTTTCATTCTTAAAAGAATATAATCAGTAGTCTATTTATATGTTTAACTCCCAGTATTTATGTTTGTGATGGTTCCAAATAACGAATAATCCCCAAATCATGGGGCTTTAGCAATCCCCTTTGAGAGTATTATATTTCTGTTATTTTTCTTAGGCTAATGTTGTGCTTTACCTGTGGTGTAAATACTGATAATCAGAAGAGATGGCAAGCCAAACTGTGCTGGTTTAACTGGTGAATGTAGCCTAGGCTGTCTCACTTGCTGTGACTGGAATGCAAAGTCAAATATTCTTACAGTGATCATTGAAAGTTATTCCTATTCCACCTATAAGCTGGTTATTCTCTTTGGTACCACAGGATAAGCAGTTATAGCCTGGAATTGAGGAGAAAAAAATTTATAGTGTCCCGATGACCTACTTTTTAATATTTTCTCAGGCAAATTGGTCTGACCTTTCCTACCTTGGTCTGACTTCCTCATAGGAAAAGTTTCACATTGCATAGGAAAGAACAATTTAGCAGGAATGTAAGTTGCAAATTATTAGTTCAGTGGTGCTCAAGCATGTTCAGGTGATGAAGTACCTAAAAGTCATGGTATTCTGTGGAATACTATGAAATATTTATATATTAAACTTTAAAATACGTTTTTTCCCTAAATCAGATACTATTTTATATTACATCCCAGAATAGATAGGAGTAGCAGGTGAGAAAGGTTTAAGAAAAATTTGTGGTAAGAAAACTTAAAATTATATTACTTTATTTTTTCATGCAAATTGGGAAAAGGCCATTTTTGGCACCTTTGTCTAACTTCCAAAACTCCAGCGTTTCAGGTAGTGTAGTTGGAGAACCATTAAATTAATTGAATCTGGGGGAGAGAGGAGAAGCTGAAATGAAAGGTGATGATATCAAGGTTTCCAATTTGGGACTCATATCTTTCATAGACACTGGTGAGTTAGGAGGGAGAAGTGGCATTGAGGTCGAGAAGGATGAATTTGGTTGAGTGTAAACTAATGATAGGCTGAGAAGAGAGACATAGTAGACAAGAGAAGCACAGTGCCTGTCACCTAGCATGGTTCTCAATAATTACTGGCTACCGTCTATCACCAGGAAGAGAGTGTGGAGACTTGGAAATTATTGGCATGGATGATAAGAATTGTTTTCAGGCTGAATATAGCGAAGCGAGTTTCAAGGTTTGAGCCTAGGGAAATAGAAGAGACATAGTTAAGCATTGTAGAATGCTGTTGGGAAGTCAGTGGAAGTGGAAATCCAGAAAGGAAGATTTGGCTTAATTGTGGGTTATGGATGGCCTCTGAGGAGATACAGCCTCAGTAAGGTGTTGCATTTATTCATTCATCTAAAGCTGAAATCTAGGAATTATCTTTGATACCTTCCATGTCATTTTATCCCTCTAATCTATTGATAAGGTGCTGTCAAGTTTACCTTCTTAAGTAGGACACAAAAAGAACACTGTAAAAGAATAAACTGAACTTTATCAGAATTAAAGTCTTTTGCTGTTCGAAAGTTGTCATTAAGAAAATGAAAAGACAAACCACAGACTTCTAAAAAACACATACATTTGACCAGTTCTTTCTATTTCCGTTGCCACCTTCATGTAAAACATGTATCAGCTGGGCATGTTGGCTCACGCCTGTAATCCCAGCACTTTGGGTGGCTGAGGTGGGAGGATTGCATGGATCTAGGAGTTTGAGACCAGCCTGGGCAATATAGGGAGACCCCATTTTCACAAAAGAAAAAAAAAAAGCTGGGTGTGGTGGTACATGATTGTAGTCCCAGCTACTTGGGAGGCTGAGGGGGAAGGACTGCTTGAGCCAGGAGGTTGAGGCTGCAGTAAGTAATGATCATGCCATTGCATTCCAGCCTGGGCTACAGAGTGAGACCCGGTCTCAAAAAATAAAATTAAAACATATATATGTACATATGAGACTCTCATAACTCAGAAAGACAATCCAATAAAAATGGACAAAAGATTCAAATAGAATATCAATATACAAATGGAAAATAAGTGCAAGAAAAAATGCTCAGCATCATTTTAGTCATTAGGAAAGTGCAAATTAAAACTATAATGAGAAAGCCGCTGTATTCCCAACAGAATGACTAAAATTACAAAGACTGGGCTGGACTCAGGGCTTACACTTAGGTGGGAGGATTGCTCAAGGATACAGGACTTTGAGACTCCATCTTTAAATAAATAAATAAATAAAGACAATTTTCAGATGTTGACTAGGATGTATGTATATAGAAGAAGAGGACCTGTGGACCTTTTTTTTTTTTTTCTTTTTTCTTGAGAAAAGGTCTTGCTCTGTTGCCCAGAGTGTAGTGTAGTGGCACAACCATAGCTCACTGCAGCCTTAAACTCCTGGGCTCAAGCGATCCTCTTAAGTAGCTGTGCATACCACCATACCTGGCTGACTTTTTTTTTTTAACTTTTGTGGAGACTGAGTCTTACTATGCTCTCCAGGCTGGTCTTGAACTCCTGGCCTCGAGCGAGCCTCTCCCTTGGCCTCCCAAAGTGTTGAGTTTACAGGCGTGAGCCACTGCACCGGGCCAGACCTTTATGCATTGCTGGTAGGCTCTGAGGTGAGCCCTGGAGTTCAAAACCAGCTTTGTGAGGTCATTTTCTTGAACTCCTCTTGCTCTGCTGTCTTCTCAGTGCCCTTGGACTCCCTTTGTTTCACCCTGCTCTGCTGTGTACTTCCCATGACTGTGTTTGTAGTCTGGGCTTTGCAGTGAGAGGACAGAGTAGAAAAGAAAATAATAGGGGTTTGCCTCATCCTCTTAAGGCCACACTTACTCTGATTGGAGGGAAAGGTTCCTTCCCTCACTCAGTGCTTTAGGTACCTGTAGGCCGCTGCCTCTTTTCAACTCCTTGAGGCTGAACTAGATGGCTTCTCTTGGAAGTTATTCATGCTGATGCCCACTCCTAGTATTTGGGCTGCCTTGAGTCTCTGCTGAGTAATAATGGAAGAAAAAACTCAAACACACCACTGGTTTCGTGGTACTTTTAATTCGAATCTTCTATCCTAGTTCATCTGCTACTCTACTTTCTAGGTTCCTCAAATAGGTGCTCCATGAATTCTGCCCTGGTTTTATAGAGGCATTTGATTGTTGTGGAGAGTCAGGGTGGAGTGTGCCCTGTTACTGGGAGCCAGAACTTTTAGAATTTTTTAAAATTTATTTTGCTATACAGTCACTGGACCTTTTAAATGTGTGAATGTGTATCTGTTAGTTCTGGAAAGTTCTCAAGTATTTTCAGACCAAGAATGCAGTTAAGGTGGAAATCTTAAAAGATAACTAGGGTATTAAAACCAGCTGTCGGCTGTGTCTCATCCTCTTCTCTTCCAGAGTATTGATTTGTCTTAAAGTTTTACTTTCTGCATCTATCTTGTGTAGCTTTTGTTTTATTTTTTTCTGTTTTTCTGAAAACTTTCTGAGCTCCATTTTTTATAATTTCTTTAAGTTCATGAATTCTCTCCCTGATTGTATCTTTTCTGCTCTTAAGTCATCTGTTGAGTTATTCGTTCTTATTTTGAGAAATATTTTGTTCTTTTTCAATTTTGCTTGGTCATGTCATAGTTTCTTTTTTCTTTTTCTTTCTTTTCTTTCTTTTTTTTTTGAGACAGAGTTTTGCTCTTGTTGCCCAGGCTGGAGTGCAATGGCGTGATCTCGGCGCACTGCAGCCTTTGCCTCCCAGGTTGAAGCGATTCTTCTGCCTTAGCCTCCTGAGTAGCTGGGATTACAGGCACCAACCACCATCCCCAGCCAATTTTTTGTATTGTTGGCCAGGCCAGCTGTGAACTCCTGACCTCAGGTGATTCGCCCACCTTGGCCTACCAGAGTGTTGGGATTACAGGTGTGAGCCGCTGCGCCTGGTCATGTCATAGTTTCTTACTCATTACTCATTTTTAATCTTGTAAAAGTTTTTTTAAGCTTATTAAATAGTCCATATTCTGACTCTCATAATTTGAATACCTGAAGTCTTTGAAGGTCTGACTCTGCCATCTTTTATTTCTGAGGTTCTTATTTATGGACCTTGTTTCCTCAGGGTTTTCTGATTTTTGCCAGTGAGCTCATATTTATTGGAGCTTTCCATGAGAAAAATTTTGAAGCTGAGTTTTAGTGGATTTTTCCAGAGAAGATTTACATAATCTTTTGTTAGTGTCCTGCAGCCACTCTTAGTTTGGGACCAATTCAATTTAAATTCTGGGGTTGAGGGTTTTTGTGTTTTGTTTGTTTTTAGAGAGTCTCACTGTGTTGCCCAGGGTGGACGGCAGTGGCAGGATCCTGGCTCACTGCAGCCTCAAACTCCTGGGCTCAAGCTATCATTCTGCCTCAGCCTTCCAAGTAGCAGAGACTACAGGTGTGCACCAACATGCCCTGCTAATTTTACCTTTTTTTTTTTTTAAATGGAGATGGGGTCTTGCTGTGTTAACCAGGCTGGTCTCATACTCCTGGGCTCAGCCTACCCAGGTGTTGGGATTGCAGATGTGAGCCACCATGCCCAACAGGTTGAGATTATTTGACCACTTAGTAGCAATCCCTTGTGAGGGCCTGCTTGTGATCGAACTTGCGGAAAAATGTGCCTTTCTGTCTCAGTGCTGAGTTTTGAGGCTAGTGGTTTTTATGACAGTTCCTGAGATGTGTATGTGTGTGGATGGATTTCTTTCTCCTTCACCTTTGTCATCCTAGTTTAAATGGTGGGAGAAGGATGTCTGTTATGCTTTTCTCCTTAGGCTGAATGTTAGTTTTATCTTGAATTCTTTGAGCCCCTTGTATTGGGAGAATGAAGCTTGCATTGGTCTATATAAATGTCTTCAAGGAAAAAGTGTTTTTGTGTTTTGGTAACCCTGTTAGGTTTCTGTCTTCACTTAGTTCTTTGTCTGAAACTTTGTTATTTTCTATTTTCTTTTTCTTTCTTTTTTTTTTTTTTTTTGAGTCAGAGTCTCACTTTGTCACCCAGGCTGGAGTGCAATGGCACAATCTTGGCTCACTGCAACCTTCACCTCCTGGGTTCAAGCAATTCTCCTGCCTCAACCTCCCAAGTAACTGGGATTACAGGCACATGTTACCATGCCTGGCTAATTTTTTGTATTTTTAGTAGAGATGGAGTTTCACTATGTTGGCCAGGCTGATCTTGAACTCCTGACCTCAAGTGATCCGCCCGCCTTGGGCTCCCAAAGTGCTGGGATTACAGATGTGAGCCACCACACTTGGCTGAATCTTTGTTATTTTCTTGCAAACTCATCAATGTATTTATTTGAGAAGATGGAAGAAAACCCCATTATTTATAATTGTTTTCAGTGGAGGATCTACATATGGGATTTGCAAGTGGCATGCAGCTATGGTCCCAGCAACTTGGGAGGCTGAAGTGGGAAGATTGCTTGAGGTTGGCAGTTCAAAGCTGCAGTGTGCAATGATCATGCTTATGAATAGTCAACTGCACTCCAGCCCAGACAATATGGCAAGACCCTGTCTCTTAAAAATAAAAAAAAAAAAAAAAAAAAAGAAAGGAACTTGCATATGCAATGTTTTGAGTTTCAATCAGGCTGATTTTGCTAGCATTCTCCAGCCTCTGTGTGAGCATTCCTACCTCTGTATTTTGCTCGGAATGTGTCCCCTGCTAAAAAAAACCCCTCTCTCCTCTCCACTGAGCCAAACCTAGTTCATTCTGCAATGTGAACAATCAAGTTTCACCTCTTCATAGTGCTTCTCTTGAATGCTGTAGCTCACTGGTTCCCAAATGTTTGGAACATTTTAAAGTACAGACTTACAGATTTTTTTTTGTTACGTAAAAATGGTCACTGTTATTTTTGAAAAGAAATTATATTTTTTATATCTAAAAGGCAGGAAGAATATGATGTCCAATTAAGGACAGTTTTTATAATTGAATTAACTTTATATGGAAAACACACTGTATTGTCCCTGTTTTTCTCATTTTGCTACTGCCTCATTGCATTCTATCCATTGATAATCAGGACCACACCCTTAGCTCAGAATGATTTCTTCAGTTTGCAAACCCACAGCTTTTTCTTTTATCAGTTCGTGGCAGCCAGTCATTTATTTCTGTTGATTTCAAACAGCCCATGTTTGACTGTTTACATTTTATGTTTCGTCTCCTTGACTAGGTTGTAAGCTCCTTAGGAGCCATTATCTGTATGTATTTAGATTACTCATAAATATGTGTTGAATGAGTTAAATTTAGATGCCTCGGATGATAGTTGAAACCTAGAAATATTTATAGAGCACACATTTGAGTATATCACAGTTTTGAACGTTGTTTACTTCTGGAGGAAAAAGAAGTTTTAATGTGAATCATGAGTCACTTACTCATCTCTCTTCTCCTCAGGGAATTTCATTCAGTTAACAAATTTACTGAGGCTTGTTTAAAAACCAGTCCTTTTGTTAGGGGTCTGGGAATACAGAGGTGAAGTGAAACAAAGTTCCCAGTATAGTAGGTAATATGCACATTTAAGTAGAAAGCGTAGAATACCACCTGGGAAGCCTTATAATAGAGCTTTGAAACCAATTTTGTGACGGTGTCCAGAGAGCAACTGAGCTTTGTAAGGGGGTGAGAGAAGCCTCCAGAGAGGAGGAAGCATTTGTTCATTCACTTTCCATTCATTCAGCAAATATCACTTTAAGTGCCTACTACTTGCCAAGCGCTGTTCTAGATGCACCTTGAATAAATAGGACATTGTTAGGAGCTGGAATACATTTTAGGTGGGGAAATTATGATCAGGAGGTAAGAACAGACCTGGGTTTGAGTTCATACACTGCCACTTACTAGATATTTGTCTTTGGGTAAGCAATTCAGTTTCTAGAAGATTCCTACTTTTGTAAAGTGCTATAGATCCTCCCTCTCTCACTGTATGTCATATGGGTAAATGGAGGTGCTATATATAAAATTAAGCTTAGCACAGTGCCCAGCCCCTCTGCAGTAGCGCATTAAGTGACAAATGTATATGCAAGGCATGTAAGTAATTAAGGCCTGATGATAAGCTTAACATGACTAAAATGTGGGGGGCATGTGGGTTGGTAGGTGGTGGTGGGCAGATGAAGCTGATGGGTCTGGTCTCACCTAGGCTAAATTGCAAATAGTCTTACATTGCATGTCATGCTAATGGTTATCTTTTTACTCTTGAATGCATTTGGGAGCTTTGGGGGTATATGTTGTGTTTTTGTCTTTATTTTTTAAACTCTGCAGTGGCATGCTGAACTATAGCATAGTAGTTTGGAACATGGACCCTGGAGCCAAACTGCCTGGGTTTTAGTCCCAGATGCCTCACTTCCTAAATATTTGACTTTAACTGATCTGTTCCTAAGTTTCTTCATTGGTAAACTGGATGATAATTATACCTATCTTAAATGTTTATCTTGTTTTGTTTGTATAATGCTCTTTGAATCACTTTTGGTTAAACATATAATCCTGTACATATAGTGTTCTGTGAATCATATTTGTTTTTTTTTTTTTTTTTTTTTGTTTTGAGACAGAGTTTCACTCTTGTTACCCAGGCTGGAGTGCAATGGCACGATCTCGGCTCGCCGCAACCTCCGCCTCCTGGGTTCAGGCAATTCTCCTGCCTCAGCCTCCTGAGTAGCTGGGATTACAGGCATG